TGACTCCATCCAGACGGTTGGAAGATTGTGGCAGAGGGGAGGAGGGGATCGAATATTATTTACCATATGGTTGATTGGTTGATAAAAAAAATTCAATTTTAGGACTTGAGAAAAAAATCTTCCCGGGACTTCCATGTCAGGATAAAGGTTCATGACGCCTTTACCTGTGTGTAGCGGGTTTACATAGGTCTTACTATGATATTTATTATAAAGATATATACAGAAAGTGTAAGAGGAAAGGGGAGAGGGCACCGGCTCCTGCCGGCGGGCGGAGGTCACTGCCAGAGGTTGGCTATCCAGGGCCAACCTCCTTCCTAGGCAGCTGTTGGGGATTAGCTGCATCCCGACACGTGGAGAAGGTAAGTTCTTGTGGTTTTTCTTTTCTTTTTTCATCTTTTTTGCTTGCAGGAACTTTCATGGCTACCGCAGGGAGCCTACACTGCTGAGAAGCGAGATTGCCCTACGATAAAGCGGCAGTGCCGTGCACTGGCCGCACTGCAGACCGTCGTCACGATTTTTAGAGTCGACGATATATGTATTTTTTCAAAGATATGTCACTTACGAATAAAAAAGAACCAGAACATCTGCTGTTTCACTGTTTGGTTGTATGATATACTGGCTAAATTCGAAACTTTTCATCGAATGAATGAATATCGAATAAATTCGATTTAAAAATTCTCGAACGAATGAATCCTGAATAAAATCGAAAAATTGAAATAATCGGATAAATGAATATCGATTGTATTCGAACATCAGGAGCCAAATTTCAAATAAATACTCAAATGATTCATAAATAAATAACTAAAGCAACCATATCTAAGACTTGCTGACATATTCGGCTAAACTCGATTTATTCATAATTAGCATCCTCATATCCTCTAGACCAACTCCTAGCTCAGATTTCCAAAAAAAAAAATCGGTAAAATTGATAAAATGAACTTTTATCAATCAGCAGCCCCACTTACCCCTTTGTATCAAATTTCAGCTCCGTAGTTTTTTCCAAAAATCGATAAAATTGGTCTGTTGACACTAGTCCATGCATCAGCAAAACGTCATATTTTACTTCCCATTATCTATCAAACAAAACTTTATTGCAAGATGATTCACGTGCGAAATTCAGCAACCGTTTGATACTCCACTACAGCTGCGATGTCCTTTACTCAAAATACATCAATTCGCGAAAAAGCTCTAAGGTAAAAAATAAAGGCAGTTGTGCAACTTGTGCAACATAAGTTTTAGCAAGAGTGCTCACTACTGTGGACCTTTGCGTATCAAAGCATGAGCGACGCAAAGGAGGAGAAACCGGCCTGTCAACGCCCTTCCAGTATATGAACTCGGAATATAAACTTGAATTTAGTAGCTGTTTTGCTGACTTGGTACCAATAGCAGTAATAGCAACGGTCTCATTGATCGAAAAAGCATCAATTAAAATTCACTATTTTTTTATTGTCGCAAGCAGTAAAAAGGAAATCGACTTTCCATACAGTTTAAAGGTCATCACGGTTACAAAAAGATGCATTACGAGTTTTGCGGAAAAACGGAAACTAAGCGAGCTTGATACTCAACAGTTGACTCAGCAACAAACTCGAATAATTCTGCTTACAGATTTCATTTTAATACGAATTCGAATTAAGTATTTAAATAAAACTTTCGAATAAAATCTATTCATCCCATTTTTTGATTACTCGAGTTTTCGAATTTTATTCGAAACCCTGTTTTTTGATTCCTCTTCTGAGTTTCGAACTTTTTTCGAAACCCCGTTTTCTCAGTTGTTCGAGTTTTGGATATAATTCTAAACGAATGCGAATAAATTCGAATGTTTTATTCGAATGATCGAATTTTTATTCGATTTGGACCCAAGTGTAGTGTATACACCCAAACAGTGAAAAAGCAAATGTTCTAGCTCTACAGCAGACGTTATGGCTCTCCAAAGCACAAAATTTCCTGAGTTGAGTGGAATCACATTTTCTAAAACCTGCGTGAATGGGCCAGTTGGCACCATCCGGAACGCATGGGTAATCAGTAGTGTCTTCAAAAGATTAAAGTACTTTAAAGAGGATTTATTTGCTTAAACGAAACTCCACTAAAGCCGACCTTTAGAAAAACATCAACCGCTGTGCCAAATGGACAGAGTTTATATGCAGTATAGCAAACAGTAGCTCAAAAGGAGTTGACAGAAGAGAGAGCGACAATGCAGCTGAAATAGGCCCATTGGATTGCAACCCCTGAGAGCGCCGCAGTTATGAAGGAAAATGGTATAAAGAATGGAATCCAGATAGCCGTTGTAACGAAGTTCGCATAACTCGGCAAACTGCAGGATGAGTGGTGCAGCTTTGGTACATGGGTCATAACGTGGTCGGTTGACGACAGATCGAGTTAAACGAACATGGTAGGAGTGTGCCGAGCGATACCTGAACAGCTTTGAGAAGGCGGACGTGTAATTTGAACGGATACCTTGCTAAGAAAGCGATTTTGAAAATGGAAAATATGTGAAACAGTTGAAGTCTTTAGACGAGAACTTGAAGCAGATGGCAAACAAAGTACAGCTTTTCAGCATTATCGGAGCAGTTATCCTCAATGGAAAGCTTTACGCAGAGATCTCATCACCAGAGACAAAGGTGCCACTCCTAAAGCAGATACGCTGGAATGGCAAATGCAGAGGAATTGTACGAAGCAATACTCGAGCAGCGCCGAAAGCATTACTAGCAGTTATGGATGCCACGAAGGACGTCGTAGCCGGAAGTAGAGAGATGTCGAAATTCGACAATCTACCGACTAAAAGATGGCGTATTGATCACGCTGGCTTCATTGGCTGTTCCATGGCTGTTACCAGTCGCGGTACGCACCCCGCTGAAGAACGGTGAGGCAAAATTTTTCGAAAATATTTTTTGTTGTTCCTTTGCTTTTTGCAGCTCAGCCGCAATTTGCTAATCAATCTTGTAGTAGTGTTGCTGTTTTTTTTTCATGAAAATCTGTTATCTTCGTGTTCGCTCCTCTGAGTTTCGGCCATACTATGTTTTTATCGTAAGATTTACCCAACCAGAATTCTTCTGTAAATTTGTACGAAAGCATACCTTCGATAGTCAAGAGACAGAGGTTAAAAAGTGATAGTTGTTTGAATTCCTGCCCCCCCCCCCTCCTATAGAAAGTGAAGGTTGTCTTCAGAAAAATAGATGGGAATTTAGTGATATGAATTAAACTAGAAAACTTGAAAAATTCGCATAAAGCAGACGTTGGCACATCACCAAATTTCAAACCTTAACTTGGTGGTCTCCAACGTACAGTTTCCTTTTCAGGATTGCAGGTTAAATGGTGGCAACAAGAACAAAGTTTTTTTACAATTAAAAAAAGCGCTGTTTAGCTGTGGCGGTAGTTGGGAGACCGAAGGAAGTAAAACTGAAGCCAGCAACTGAATTGAACGTGTTAAACACGTCTGAAAAGATATGTTGCACATCGACGCCAATCTGACTTTTGATGCGTCAATCAAAATTTTACCCCCGCATAGCCGTTTCGTATCCTGCGACGTTGTCTGGATTTTTCCGCTCATTATTCTGAGCAAGAATCGTCCAAGCTGTAGAAAATTCATTGCAAAAGCACTGAAAGAGAACAAGGTAAAGAAAACGCACTTTTTAGTAAGTTTCATAAAAAAACCAGGCATAAGCAAAGAAGTAAGCTCGGCAACGTTGTCTACATCATGGACAAAAACAAGACCTATCGAATACACAAAAAAACCGATTGAAAAGAGTTAAAGTGAAGAAAAAACAAAAGGTTCTCGAAAATGCCGTTTTTTCCAGATTTCTCGTTTAAATCATAAAGAGGAGTATTGCGACGTTGTCATCGTTAAAATAGAGGTCAAGAGCTTTAATGCGATATATAGATTGTCGCAATTGGGCTCCGAACAACGAAGAAAAGGGTACCAGAGCCAAACCCCCGCGCTCCGCACATGGGGTAGCGAGGTAGCGCGCAACGCGCGGAGACGCAGACGAGCAGCGGAGACAGACCAGAGCCGGCGGGGCATTTGGCTCTGGTCGTTGATCTCTGAGGGCTCATAACGAAACCCTACAACATTATATATCGTTGTGCTCCTCATGAGACGGCCACGAGCACTGACAACATCGCGGGTCTTAAAAATCACTCCATAACGAGATATACCAGCATTTATGTGGCGACTCTGAGCAAAATTTGAGCGCACTCTCTCGTTTTTATTGAACTTCAGCGGCTTTTATGAACTTCCAGCGCTCAATCGCAGCCTAGAAGAAGGTTAATTGAAAAATTTTGTCCTAATTTCTAATTGAATTTTTGAATAAAAACATTATTTTTAGCAAAAAGGCCATAAAAACGCAATCCTGCGAGTTTTTGAGCTTTTTTTGGATCTCGCTACCATATTTGCCTCATTCACATTCATCCCTATATGGTTATATCATTAGTTATGTCATAATATCCTGAGCTTCGCCCGGATGACTTCTGTACTTCTCTCCGTAAAGGTTGTGTTCTATCATGACGCTCAAAGTGAAGGTTACCAGAGTAAATGGCTCTATATATCGAAGGTATGTGTGGAAGCCATATATTGTCTCATCTGGAATATTGTCTATCTAAAGCTTCAAAAAAAGATTGAAAAGATGGAGGAAATTCAAGGACTTTTACAAGAACCGTTTTTATAAATGCCTTTTGAATGTAGGCTATTCGCAGTCACTACCCTCATACGTTTCAAAACAAAGGAAGTAAAGCTTTGAAGCCTGGAATACAGGCGTGATATTCTAGTATTTTGCATTTGTATTCTGCGTTTGGCCAAGAGATAAAGTTTTTTAACCAACGGCCAAATGACATGTATTGTACAATCGTAGACTTGGCAAAACACTGTTTTCAATAGTTTAATTCATTCATAAGTTGCACCTTTGGGTGAATTGCGTTGCTTTCTTCAAACACTAATAGCGATAATTCTGCAAAATTCGGGACAAGCTTGAGGATGTCAATGTGCTGAACGTGCTTCAAGTCAATTTTCAGAATGGTTGACCAACACAGCCTTTTTCTCTGCAGCTCATGGTGTGGCCATTCCCGGATGTGCTCTATAAAATCGATTCTAACCACTTCCATCGAGCCATTTTGTCCAATTCTACTCCTCAAAACCATTTTCCATTGTAAGTTAGCTGCAGTCATTAAGGATCGTCTGCAACCGATTCTTTTTTTTTTTGATATTACTCACAATCCAAAGCTATTACATTGCTAACCACTGGATCAGCTCATCCTTGACAGCGTGACCCAGCGTACACGAGATAATTTAATGCGATGTACATGCCAAGCCCCGGTAAATGTTCTACTTTCTTACGTGTCTGTGTAGGAAAAAAGGTTTTGGTTGAGCTACACATACTTTTCGGAGATGGAGAGCGACTCGAAACATTGAGCAAAAGACCAACTATCCAGCAGTGTTATCCAACGAAAAGTGCTTTGTGTTTTTTGTTTCCGTTTCTTTTGGCGCACTCTTTGTATTATACAAATTAATAAATATGTAGATATATTAGCCTACTTATAGATCAACGTCTAACGATTACCTAAAATTAAAAATGTTTACTGATTTGATTTTTTTAAAGCCGATACCAGTGCAATGCGCCCACGACTTTATTTTGTTTTCTTTCAGTTTTCTATTCGGTAGTGCAGAACTTACATTGGCTGAACTGCAAAGCTGGAAAGCAAGAGAAAGAGCCATCAAAGAAAGAAAAAGCATAAGTCGAGTTTTGTGCTCGAAGCAGGATGCCGTGCCCATAATCAAAGGCACGATAAGATAATACTGTAGTTCTACACCAAGAGACCATGCGTGAACGAAGAACCGATATGTTGTTAGCTTAAAACAAAATAAGTAATATGATACATAATACTCACAAAAAAGTGTAATTAAAAGTCTATAGCACCTGATCCCAATATCCTACTTTTTGGAAGATTGGTTGCAGATTAGTGGAATACGTGTACGCCCAAGTAAGATCTTCAAAGATTTGCTTGCGATCGATACGAAATATGTAAAAATATCCATCTGTAACCGTGAAATGAAACACAAACAAACTTACTGCTTTATATTCAAAGTAGCTCTTACGCAACAGAGATCATGTTGTGCTTAAAATTCTGACAAAAAATCAACCTTCAGTTGCGCATCGAAGGCAGTAGCTCGGCAAAAACAAACATCTCAAAATTTTGATAAGGAAGGTTGCTTGCATTCCAAACATCAGAACGACAAGGAGCGCATTACGCGTTGCCCCCTGCCTAGAAAACTGCCCCCTAAACCCGTGCGCGCATGCCATTCTTACACGCGTTCGGACGAGCTTGCAGCCCCCTCCCACCGTCAGAGGCGGCATGCCGTAATGCTATAAACATTAGGGCCCGCAGCGACTCTAGGTCTCTAACTATGGCGGGAAGTAGTCCACTCGTCCAAATTCAAAATGAGAACCCTTGGAAAATGCTGATTTTTAACATTTTCGTGCTTGAAGTGTACTTTTGAAATCAGCCCACGAATTACCCCAGTTAAGCGAAAAAAACTTCAAGTCGAAGTTTGCAGAGCCACTGCTTTTAGGCTGCAAACCTCAGCTTGACGTAAACGAATTTTAGTGAAAACTTCGAAACAACTGACATCGTCCTTGAATTACGTTGGCGAATCGAACTTGAAAGATTGCAACTCACATAAAGATAAATACTATCTATGTTTGCATAAGTTGCACCGCAAGATACTTATGAATAAGCCGCAGCAGTGGCGATATAAAGTTTAGCGAGATTTTCGGTCTCTCTCTTCGAAAAAATACGTGGTCTACTTGCGTTCCATTATTCAAAGTACTAAGTAAAAAGGGTGCAGACTTTCAATTGTTTACGGTATTCTAAGAAGATACATTCATTCGATTACAAAAACCCTGATTGTAAATGAAACGCTATTTTTTGTGTTTCAATAATGTAAGCGGTCAAAACTACGATTTTGATTTTCTGAGCTTTTGAGCTGTTTTCGTACTTCTAGGTTTGCTTATTTAACATGAATCAAAGCTTAGCGCGGCGTCCTCAGCTGCCCTGAATGCAAACTTATGTAGGTTTTTTTCTGCTTTGCTTGTTCTTACTCTCTAATTCTTACGTCACGCACATTATTCAAGTTAAGAATTGCTGACCGTTCTCACTATCTAGCATTTTATATACTAATGTTCTCGATTCGTCAACTCTGTTTGAAATCAGGCTTGAACGAACGATGCATGGGTATTCGGTGGCATAAAGGAAACTAATACGTGAAGAGGTAGGCACAATAATTTAAAAGTATGATATAGAATTATACAGAAAAATAATTCTTACACATATCCGTTTCGAGGAGACAGTATGTGACTTCCTGGGCTCATCGCCCTTTCATCAGTAGTTTCCGAGAAAGTGCAAAAGTTTAAATGGGAGTCTATGCACATAAGTAACCACGTAAATAACGATGAATAGATATACAGGGTGTCCCAAAAAAATGTGCCTACTGTTTGATTGTAAATAACTCTCTTGTAATGAGGTCTATCGAGAAGCTTTAGGTACCGATTTGTAGGGCGAGGCTAAACTTAGACTTAGAGTATGAAGCGAATGATTTATCGCTCTTCATTACTGTAGGATTACGGTATGAAATTCGACAAAGATTTTAGGCCATTGAAGGCTATATTCTGCCTCGGAACAAAATCAAACAAGCCAAACACTCTCATACTGCGGTAATTGGAGCCGATGATTTTGATTTTGAAATTCCCATTTTACTGTGATGCTTCTTTTAAAGTTATCCCCGGTAAATCGTGATAACTCAATTCCCAGAATTTGTCAGAAATGTAATAACACCGTCAAAAAAGCTGAAATCACTCGTAAAACGTTGTCGGGTGGAATCAGCATGCGCCAAAACCCTAGTACACGTTCTTTCAGATTTTTTGAAGAAAATTTTGTTAGGTGGTATATTCCACATTGGTTCCATATGCTGAAAGTTCTTACCGTAATTCTACAGTAGTGAAAAGCGATAGATGATTCGCTTAATACTGTAAATCTAAGCTTCACCTCTCTCTCGGTACGTAAAGCTACTCGAAACACTTCAATACCAGAGAGTTATTTGCAATCAAACAGTAGGCACATTTTTTGGGACACCCTGTATAAACGAAGTGTACATAAATTATAGGAAGACCTGAGTATGATGAATGAAAATAGACTGAAGGTGGCCTGACAAATGGATTATCAGGTGGACTATGAAGTCCCGTACCGCACTAATGAAAGATACACTGATACATATTTGTCTCCATATTTGCGTAATATGAATGGTTTCTCCCTAGAGGCTTGACATAAAATTCTGAATATTATTCTTTCATTCCTTTCTAAGTCCACAAAGTTGTATGAGCTAGTCTTAAATTTTGTATAATCGCTACAAATCCTATATATTCGAAGAATTTCTGAACTATAAGTTATGGAAGTGATGATACATCGTTTTTTCACCCCGTTGTAGCGGGCACGAAGCCTCAACGTCCTCACGCGTTGCGGTTTCGGCCGCGGCGCAGGATCGATACGGCCGATCAGCTGTTCATCCGTACGCTACCACAGGAATTGGTGGGTTTTTAATTATTTCTTTATCTTTTTGCTTGCAGGTTGCAAAAAAAGATGGAAGGTGAGTTGGAAAAGTCTTTTAGTTTATTTTTAAGTGTATTGTCTTGAAAATCTAGATTACTTGCACGAAAAACTCAAAAACTGGCTGACATCGCACTTAATTGGATGCTCAGCTCTTTCAGCAATCAGTGCACTTATGACTAAACTTAAAAGACTTTCCGACTCACCTTCCATCCTTGCTGCAACCAAAAAGATAGAGAAATAATCAAAAACTCAGCAATTCCTGTGTCTGCGGACGGATGAACAGCTGTTCGGCCGTATCGACCCTGCGCCGCAACCCACACCGCGAAGCGTGAGAGCGTTTGAGGCTGCGTGCCCGCTACAATGGGGTGAAAGGACGATAACTATGGACATCTCATGACCTCAAATTATACGCATTTGTTTTATTGTATAAACTCTTATCTCAAGGCAACGGTCTATCGTACAAACACTAAGGTCCAGAAAGTTCGTTTCTCAATTGTTTACGTTCGTTTCAAACTCTTTGACTTTATTTGATACGTATAGGATGTCATCAATGTACCTATATGCGTTATTAAATAAATATTTGTGTGTACCATTATCATCGCCGCTAGGCTGACACATTCGTATTCCATAGAGGCTAAAGTTAGGTCTGCTATTTGAGGGCTATATGACGCTTCTTGTGGTATGCCTCTTGATCTTATATATTAGGTCGTTTCAAAAGTAATTTCGCTTTTTTCAAAGGGGCACCACATTTGACGGAAGAAAGGTTTTTAAGACATCTTGGAGGCATTTGATGCAGAATTTCACTCTCTTTCTAAAGGTCATGGAATTATTGCAAAACAGTCAATGAGCTTTCAGAAAATAACCAAAATCTGCGACCCATGCTTTTTGTGATGGTCAAGTTTCACAATTTTTTAAAACTTTCATATCACTCTTCAGAAGGAGTTCAAATAACGATTCGATAGAGTAAACCTTATAGAATACCTCGCCGTAATATTTTAAAAGAGTTTTTAACAGAACCATCGGATTTTGGCAGGCCTCAGCCACAATTGCATCAAACGTCATAATTATTCGGAATTTGAGACTACCAAAATGGTATTATGAGCTAGCATCAATTTTACAAAGCAGAGGAGGGTTTACGGGTTTGAAATATCAAATTTCGAGTTTTTCGGGTACAGCCTGAGGCTAGCTAAAAAAATGAGTTATGATGATTTCTCCTCGGAAACTAAACGAATCGGAAATAAAAAACATATGTTAGAAAGAGGAGAAAATGCCGCATCGAATAGTGCGCGAGCTGCTCTTCTTTTGATGTTCCACGAGGATTTGGCTGCTCAAATATGGAAATCGGTAGCATCAGTTAAAATTCTGTTAAAAATGTATGACAAGATATGGAAAGAAGAAAAAAGTAGTAGTGTATTTTATAAGGTTTACTCTATCAAATCTTTACTTGAACTCCCTCTGAGGATTGATATGAAAGTTTTAAAAAATCGTGAAACTTGACCATCTCAAAAAGCATGGGTCGCAAATTTTGGTCATTTTCTGAAAGCTCATTGACTGTTTTGCAACAGTTTCATAACCATTAGAAAGAGAATGAAATTCTGCATCGAATGCTTTCAAGATCTTTTGGAAACCTTTGTTCCGTCGCATGTGGTGCCCGTTTGAAAAAAGCGAAATTACTTTTGAAACGACCTAATATAAAGTTGAATGTGTGTCTGTCTGTCTGTCTGTACAAATTTGCGGAATAAAAATTTTTATTTCTGAACCGATTTAGACCAAACTTTGCGCACAGGTACTTCGGGGCAGGGAGCGTGTCATAGGCTACTTTTCGTCATCGATCGATATCGATATTATCGATTTTTATCGATTTTCCTTGCAAAGTTTGAGCTACAGGGCTGGGAGTTGGCACAGGGGGTAAGTTAGCATGCTGATTTCAATAACAGCACAGGGAACGGGAAATGAAGTGTAGAAGTGGGCACAGGGAAAGGTTGTACAGGGAAGGGAGTGAAAGTTCAATATAGCGTTTTGACAGGGCCGGGCGGAGCCGGGTAAGCCAGCTAGTTGTCTGTAAAGGTGTTTGCAGAATGAGAAAAAAGAAAACAAGTTATTATCAAGAAGCATATCCTGTTTAATATTAGGTTGTTTCGTAAATAATGCACGTATTTCTAATCTCCTTGTGAAAAAAGCTGATTCTCAAAAAAAAACCATTTTTCTCCAAAACCCTGTAGAGTGCCTAAAAGCCCGGTTTTCCTAGATCCTTTTCCAAACCAGAGTTGTATCCCTTTAAAGACAAGTGACTAAAATTAATTTTTTTCTTTCGATCTCCTTGCTCTAAATTCATGAAAAGAAGACGGATTTTTTTCAAAAATTATGCGTGAAGATTGCGAAGTTTTGTTCTATAAAACTCTTGTCAATAATAAAGGTTGAGAAATCCTGGGCTGAGAAATCCTGTCTCACACTTGGCCGGTCGCTGAGGCCCATCTATGCTGCATAAAAATTTCAGGCAAGAAGCGACTGTACAAAATTCGTATGTTCACCTAAAGTGGACATAACTAATGCCAGGAAAACGGCAAATTTCCTCGTCTTTTTGAAAAAAAAGAAACAAAAAAAATTCCAAAAAAGTGACTGCCATACCCTCGATACATAGAGCCACGTACTCTGGTAACCTTCACTTTGAGTGCTATGAGGGGACACAACCTTCACCTGGAAAAAACAGAAGTTATCCGGGGCGAAGCCCCGGATGTTATGATCCTGACTTCGGAAGAATGTGAATGAACCAAATATAGGAAAGAATGTTTGAAGAATGTCTCAGCGAAACCGAGAAATTGCTTTTTTAAAGCCTTTTTTACGCTGAAAAGAGAATTTCTCTGAAAATTTCCTCAGAATTCAGGACAACGTTCCTCATTTAGCCTCCCGCTTGACCAAAAATGAGTTTCAAAAGTTTGGAAAGCTGTTGGAGTTGAATTAAAATGAGTGCAATTGTGATTAATTGTGATTAATTAATTGTGCAATTGTGCACAGAGACACGCGCACAATAACGCTGGTCTATCTCGTTAATGAGTGACTTTCAAAGCTTGGGACGTTGTCAGTTCTCCTCGTCGTGTCATGGCGATCAGAATGATATATAATGTTGCAGGGTTTCGTTGAGACCCCGCGGAGATCTACGACCAGAGCCAAATGTCCCGTCGGCTCTGGTCTGTCTCCGCTGCTCGTCTGCGTCTCCGCACGCTGCGCGCTACCTTGCTACCCCAAACGCGGGGCGCGGGGCATTTGGCTCTGGTACCCTTTTCTTCGCTGTTTCGAACCCAATTTTAGCAATCTCTATATCATTTTGAAGCTCTTGATCTCTATTTTTACGCTGACAACGTCTCAGAACCACATTTTTCAATCTGATCGAGAAATCTGGCAAAAACCTTGTTTTCAAAAATCTCTTGTTTTTCTCCTAGTTTGACTCTTTTCACGCGGTTTTTTTTGTGCATTCTATAGATCTTGCTTCTGTACATAATACAGACAACCACCCAGCCCTTACCTCTTCGACTATGGTGAGATTTTTGCAAAAAACCGTAAAAAGTGCGTTTTCCTTTACCTTGTTCTGTTTTCGTGCTTTCGCATCAATTTTTTTCCAGCTTGGGCGATTGTTGCTCAGAGCAATAAGCGCAACAATCTAGACAACTTCCCAGGAAACAGGAACGTCAATGCGGGGGTAAAAATTTAAAGGACGCATCTAAAATCGAAACCCCGCGTTGCGAATTGCTGGACCTGAAGCGAAAACTTGCACTTTGAAAAGCCTCCAAATGAAAAATTGCAAACGTCATTGCATTTATCCGGTTTTCAGCAGTTTCTTTTGCTTTTTTATCTGTTTTACGTCATTTTCTCTTCTCTGGTCTTCTTTAAACAACCTTCACTGTTAATGATGTCAGATGTTCAAACAACCTTCACTTTTGGCGCCCTGTCTCTAGACTATCGAAGGTATGGTGACTGCTTTTATATATGAAATTTGTTGTGAGCCGTACAGGTTTGTTAAGATATTTATTTGGTCTAAGGTTTCGGCAGTGGTGCCTTCCTCAGAGACCTGAAAGAAAGTCTCACACTAGTTTCTTGAACAAAATAATCTGCGGCTTAAACAAAGTTCATGAATGTGATTTTTTGCAAAATTTTCTTACACAGAAATGTAGTAAATCCAAACCTTACTTCGTTGAACAACCAACCATCGGCATCGAGCAAAGTTCGCGCGATCGTTGTACATTTGAGGGCAAGTTAAGGCTCTAAAAGTGTAAGCTCCTAAAAAATTTAAAAATTTATCGGGCTAGAAAATTTTTTAGAAAATGTCTACGACCCAACAAGAGCATGCATTATAAGTCATAATCAAAGGTTGCTGTTTACAGTAACTTCTTATTGCGCTCAAAAAGAAAATTTGGGAAAATTATCTTCAGGAAGTGAAATCCAAAAAACGTGCATTAATTATGAGACAACCTAATATATCCTCCTTTTGAAAGTGTCTTTCTTTAGCCGTGGTCACTTTGGTGTATGTAGATGTATGTAGATGTCCTGTTGTTTACCTTGAAAATGTAAGGTCGCATACAAAGCTCAGTGAGCTTGTTTAGATTTATCCTTACAACGATATGTGAATATTAATAATATATCAATAATATATTAATCATACAATTGATATGATTAATTTCAATCTTGCTGATGTGAGAGCTATTTTGAAATGTCTTAAAACGCCTTGCACGAAACCTTATGATGGCATTCCTCCCATATTACATATACCGAAACTGTGCGGACACTCTTTCGCAGCCTCTTCCAAATCTATTCAATTTATCCATTGCTTTTGGTGACATGCCTAGTTTGTGGAAGCAGGCCATGGTGAATGCAATCTCAAAAACTACTTCTGCTACAAATGTCTGTGATTTTCGTTTCATAAGACTAACACCCACTCCCATCAAAGTATGGAAAAGATTATCAGAAGGAAATTGCTCCGTGGGCTGCAAAAAATTTTGTGAAACTCCTCAAGAACTTCATGGTTTTGTTCCCAGAAGGTCTACTACAACCAAGTTAGTGAAGAGTGTTTTTGACTGGAGAAAAGCTCTTAATGCTGGTATGTCGGTAGATATTATCTATGCCGATCCATCTAAAGCGTCTGATAAGATTCATTATATACTTTTGTATTGTAAACTTCAAAATTATGGGATCACTATAACTTTTCGTATCAACTTGTCCCGTAAAGTCAGTTCTGCTTATATTAGAAGATGTGCTACAAAACAAATGCATTATTCTAAATGATTTAGACGCCTAATTTTAGAAGAATCATGCATTGAAATAATTTACTATGGTTGTGAAATTTGTCTATATCTTTATCCCTCAACAGCTCTCATACAACAAACTTTTTTACAAAGAAAATCTGGAATGAGGATCAGAGGGCAATTGGAGATATCGTTGAGTTGTGAATTGATATGTGAGCTTGCGCACGACGTCCGACAGCACCTTAATGGGTGACTTCTCAGCAAAATTTGTAAAGTAAAAAATTGCAAAAGTGTAGGCTATCAATCAGTACTATCCAACGAAGCCTTAAGAGACAAGAAAAAAGAATGAAGTTGAATGGGTTCTAACCTCAAAGTTCGTAAAGTAGCATGCGTGGTGTTTAATACGTATATCAATTTAAAAATGACTCGACGATAATAAAGCTGCATTTAGGTCAAGTTACCAGACATGAAGAACACGCCTTCGAGGAATATTATTGCGATATTGACTATTGTGAAAAGTAACTCTGACAGAGCCCGTTACAAGACAGCAATGGATTCGATGGAGTGTTACGCTCTCCAGAACAACTACACATATTTGCAACTTTATGGCGAAAATTTCAAGACCATATGTGAACAAAACGATGTGATTTTACTTAGTTCTTCGCATTTTGCAAAACTTTGCAAACCTTCTTTTGTGACAGATTCACTTCCAACGCCACTGCATCGTTGCTCATATCCTCAAAATTCACCACTACCGTTGGGTGCTGCTATTAAATGCCGACGTTGGTGTCGTTAACGAGAAACGGCAAGAGCTTTTTTTCACGCTTCTTGATACCACATTTCTCTTTCTTCCAGAAGATTGGAGGAGTATATCAAAGAAGAAGCCGACATCATTCTTTACGACAGATTTCTCGTTTTCAAGTGGCGGCAGGTTTATAGCCCTCTTATAATAGAAAAATACTAAGTGATCGTCTCCAAGGGCAAGCCATGTACTAGCATAGTTTTTTGCGGTATGCTAAAAGCATATCTACGTTTAATATAGGTTTGCGTTTTTGTGTGAGTGTTTACGACGGTTTATCCGAGGTTTCCACAGCCTAACTTAAGTGCGAGTCTCGCATTTAGTGATAATGGCAAGGTGGGGTAGTGGATAGTGTGTTATAACACTGATCTGAGGCACCTTTTGGTTCTAGCGGAAATATTCTACTAACTCAGACACTCGCACCGGCTGGCGACCGACGGAAATCGGTTTCCTGCCGGGGGCTTCCCTCCTTTGCCACGGCGCGGGGAGTGACGGAGTTCAAATAGTACATGTTGAACCTTGTCAGCCCAAGCAAAGCTCGCCCTACAGTCTGTCCCAATTGGGATCAGGCGGAAACGCAAATGTATATTTGTGTGCTCGCACGCTATTAGATTGCGCTGCATTTGAGCACTGTCCGAGAGAAAAAAGAGATAGAAGAGGATGCAGACAAACAAGCCAAAAATGTAATTCAAATCTTAGCGATGCGGACCTTCAGCCATAACAATTTTGGCCTCATTGGGTTGCGACAGACTGTATTATTTTTTTCTTTTATTTTTATTGATCGCAGCTTATCTACTTCGTTCTGGTTTTGTTCATGTAATTGTACTTCTAAATAGATGTAATGCGTACTGTGCTGTTACATTTGGCCTTTAGTTGATGTAGTTTTATCTTTGCTACACCTTTTCCTTTTCAAATCTGAAGAAAAAGTCAACAGCAAGGTGTTTTCCGTAAATTTGTCTTCATCATGCTTGCCTGGACGGCGGAAAAGAAGTAACATTGCGGAACATGCCAGCTGCGACGCCTTAAGTTTGTTCGCGTAAACTTTTGATTGATAGTGGCCAATCCCAGCAAGTCGTACACTCATGAACGATCCATGGAAAGCTGGTTCTATATCTGCCTTCATCTGCTTATCGGTCCTTCTACACGATGAAAACGTGTCTCCCCTTTACGAGAAGTGAAGGTGGACGCATAATGCAGTGGTGTGCAAATCCATAGAACGATGCCTCTCTTCTTTGTTTGCAAGTTCGATTCCTTATGCCTTTCATTTTTTTGCAATCCAGCACTAAGATTTGCATTATTAGCACAAATCTAGGATCTTTCCGCAATCTCTCTCATAATTGCTTTCCACCCAATCATATAGGACTTTGTACTTTTAGAACTGAACTCAACACATTTTATACTATACTAGCTGGCTTACCCGGCTCCGCCCGGCCTTGTCAAAAACGATAAATGTTCCATTTCTATCCCTGTACACCTTTACCTGTGCCCACTTCTACATGCAATTCCCTATTCCCGCTGTGTGAGTAATCAGCATGCTCACTTATCCTCCCCCCCCCCCCCTATGCCAATTAACAGTCCAGTAGCTCAAACTTTGCAAAAAATCGATAAAATCCATAAAGGTAACGGGTAATTCTAAAAACTAATGGCGTCATTCGGCTATCCGGGCCCTAAAATGTTTTTGCGGTGGGTCTTGCTTAAACTCGGTATATGGGGGTTATTCAAGCCGCTTATAATGAATATGGTAGTCATTTAGCGTGGCAGCGGGTAAAAATCATGAACCTGCCTGAAACCTTGACAGAGAATTACCTAAATTGCTGTTTCAAGAATATCGTGCTCAATCCCCACGATAATAGCAATTCGTGTGGTATAAAAGTTTCGCGTAATGCTTTCCTTATAGGACCACTCCGCGCGCGACACACCCTTCGGCGGCTTTTGCCTAAGCAAAAACAGGGGAAGGGCGATTTACCGCGTGCGTTACACTTTGGGACAGGTTATCAGGATGGCGCTGGAGACCGCCATTCAAAACAACCATTTCGTGAAAATCTGGAATTTAAACTGGCCCGAAAGCGAAAAAATGTCCATTCGAACCCCGCAACTCACTATAACTTCGCTAATGCGTTATGACAGTGAGCAAGCATCATTCATAAGCAGTATGCATGTGAACGGTTACAGGAAAGGTTTTGAGCAAATCTGGAATTTCGACCCATCTACACCCGCCGTAACCCAAGAAAATGCACTATCCTGCGAAATCAGCATGATATTCATGTTCGCGCGCTAAGTGACCATCCTAGACGAAGTTTAAAGCAAATCTATGTTTTCGACCCCATAACCACAATAACTCTATAAAAAGGTCCCAATATGCAGACAGAGAGTATGAAATTTGTAATCAGCATGTCGAATAAGAGTTCTCTGGACCAAACTTCAGCCGAATTCATGATTTTGACTTCCTACCGTACACCAACCGTAACCACACGGGGAGACGTTCTGCGGAGAAAGTGTGATATCTGTTTTCAGCACGTAAGAGAACCAATATACACGACGTTTGAGCAAGCTCTATGACAAAGAAACTTTGGGGCTTCAGATAGCCGGCCAAACTAATATTGCACTCGTAATCAGCATGCTCGATTACCCCTCCCCCCCCCCCTCCCCCTGTGCAAACTCCCAGCCCCGTAGCTTAAACTTTTCAAAAAAATCGATAAAATCGATAAAAGTAATGGATAATGCTAAAAACTAATATAGCATTCGTAATCAGCATGCTCGATTACCCCTGTGCCAACTTCCAGCCCCGTAGGTGAACTCAGCAAAAAATCGCAAAAAATCGATAAAATCGATATCGATTGATAACGAAAATGCAAAGTTTGGTCCGGATCGGTTCAGAAATAGAAATTTCTATTCGGAACATACGTACAGACAGACAGACAGAGAGACAAACAGCCATTCAGCTTTACATATAAGATTAGGCGGCTGAGCGATCTACTGTAGCATCCGTCACGAAGAAAGTTTATATCTAGTCCTATAACAGACAACAAGAGAGGTAGAGCGAAAAGTTGTACAAGCCGCACTTAATATTTTGCATGAGCTCCTGATGAGTTAATAAATATCGAAATTTTCAGTAAACCCTAACTTCCGACTCGGTTCATCGCAGTTTTCAGTCTTTGATATATCATTTGTTTGTATCAGGAAAATGCCGCATAGTTTGGTACAGGAAACAGTGAAACTCTGGCATTATTGAAAGAACAATGACTTCGTAGGAAAATCGCTCAGCCGCCGGGGATTATCAGGGAATCATATAAAAAGCTTTGAAAAGCGTCTTGTAAGGGTTTTTTTTCGCTCTTGTTCAATATGTTCATGGTAAAGAACAGTAAGGATACTTACGGCTAGATAGACAACGTAAAATCCAGATATGTAGAGCTTCAAGATATGAAGCTTTCTTTTGAATTTCGTTCCCTTCTCCGGCGAAAATGTTAATGCATTGTTGCTTTAATCGACGTGTGCTACAACCGTATGAAACCAATCAAAAGTTTGTCACTTGATGCAAAAGTCCGAATCATCTATTGGGCATACCGCAAACCTTTTTCAAATTTAGACATATATTCTAAATATTTTGTGCTTATCTTCAATCCAGCAAAAAAGGCAGTGGCCTTTATAAGTTCGTCCCACAGTATTCTTCTGTATTGAAGTGTTCATCTCTTTCTAGTAGATAGTCTTTAAGAGACATGGGCATTACTTGCCAAAGTTCTCATCTTGTTGGTTTTACCTTTCTTACCATTAAGTAATCTTTAGAACATTTGCGAAAGACTTCCAAAGATTAGAAAATAATGCAAATATTTACAGCAATGCTCTTTCTCGGATAACGACTTTGTAAACATTAACGCGCGCCTGGGCATGCATGCTCCATTGAAGTGTTGCGCACCGTTAGCCGTTTAACATCGCCTATCAGTAGATGGAAAAGTTTTTTGCAGCCGCTCTAGCTCTGGATCATGGCCATGTTCACTAGTCTAAGCTGCGCTGATAGCAATCTACAAGCTTTTTTTAAATTGAGGAAAAGCTTGACTATTTACAAGATCCTGTTTTGCCTTGTTGTTTTGAAGTTTGAAATTTGAAGTTCGAAATTTTTGCAAATTTGTTTCATAAATGATCAAGTAAATCCGTAACCTCAGGCATGATTGCGACCTCACATCTTCAGAAAAGTTTTCCCTTAATTACCGGTTCAATTTGTCTTGGGGGGAGTAGCTTTTTGAATTGAAGCAAAAACATTCTGTTATCGGAGCAAGTTTACGAAGAAACAAAGTGTTTTCTCCCCAACTTAACGTTTTTGTGGCTGGTCGCATGAATTGCTGAACGGAGTGGGACACCAACCATGAAAAACGAGTAACCTAGTCGTGCTCGAAGCAAAAATCGTTTAATTGTAAACTTTTGAGTTCCGCTACCATAAAAATCTGTCTACTATGATTGCAGTGTTAACTTTGACAAAACATAACTTTGTGCTGGTTTGATGTTTCTGCGATATTAGCGATTTCTATTTGACAAGTTGACCAAACACATTCAAGGTGTGTTAAAATAGAATGGTTAACATAGTGACAAATGTAGATAAAAGCATTTTCGAAAACTTTTTTAGGAGTTCTCTTTATAAACGAAAGAGGGTACTAGAAGCAAAGAAATTGTATTGATAAAAAAGGGAATATAAGCTAACACAAATTTACGTGATCTTCGAAGCTGATTTTTCAATTATAATGTTTTTGAACCTATCGAGTAAATTATGAATTAAGAATAGCAACAGCAGTGAAAGCATCAATGGAATGATAAGGATTCTTTCCAAAAACTGTCACACGCATTTCTGACTAATCAGGGGGTCGAGCGTTTAGCGCACTGCATAGCAGTGGCGGACCAATCCCCAACCTCTCTGAGAATGAGTCGCGAATTTTTTGGAAGTTAGATGAACTGTAAAAATCTGCAAATAACTTCCGGACCCTTGCGGAAAAGCGCGGCACCCCAGCATTCAAACTCTCACAAGTTTTTTTTCTGTTTTTCTTGTTGTATACGCTACTTCACGAGTTTTAGCAGTGTACGTAATCAGAGTTGACAATTTTAGTATCTTTGAGTGACGCCGCAGTTCTGTTCTCGCTAGTTCAAGCCTGAGTTCAGCTAAGC